GGGGGGGGCGGCGCTACCGCCCACGCAGTGATGCGTGCCCGCCCGCCCGCCGGATGGCTCCCACCCCGCCCACGCCCACGCCCGCGCCCCTGCGTGCTCGCGATCGCCCATTAGCCGTGCTCAGTTGCGAAGGCCCCGCGCCGCGCCACCGATCGCCTGGTACCGATAGCTTCCGCACCGCGGCCGCTTCGAAACACTAGCGCCCCGCCGGGGGTAATTAGGAGATCGAATTGCTGTTGGCGGTTAGTGAGGAATCGGTTTTACGAAAACGTTATTAAACAATCCTTCCGCGCTCAGTAATACCACCTTAATCACTGTGAAATACGCTGTAAATAGATTGAGAAAACATCGCGAAATATTTTCTGAAACGTATTGCCATAGATTTCTCTATGTGAAATCCAAACAAGGCTGCAAGATTTCAGAAATTAAATATCTAATCCCATACTGGGCTTTACGCAAAATATTTTTTTAATAAAGTCTGCGATCATTGTCTGAATGAATCACATTAAGAAATACGTTGTTGTTGTGACAAAAAAATGAAAGTGAATCAGTGTTTAAACGTTTCTTTCACCTTTATTTTTCTGCTCCGTAAGCTATGACAAATGACGTAAAACATATCTGATTAATATTTGAATTTAGTATACTATTTTTCATAGCTACATATCGTAAGATTATATTATTATCCTTTCCTTCAATTTATGTCATATCAACAGAAAACATCGAAATTTAATAGACAGTTATCTGGATGACCAATTCCTTATTTGTGATGGTTTTAGAAGTGTATATGTATATTAAATCAAGTTTAACAACTTCATTATTTACATCTTTATTCTTTTTTCCAAAGTTCAAACTCCACCATTGGTTAAATGCGCTCCAGACGCCAATTCATTAGATCAATTATTTATTCCAGTTTTAGATTCTTAATGAACCATTCCTCACAACCTTTTACTTTAATTATTTTTTTAAAGTGTTCAATGTGAAATTAAACTACAATAAATAATTTGACGTCTAATTTGTTGCATTAGTGTAGTCTTGTAGTATCCTACAAGGAAAAAAAATATTGGTATCACGGCTCCAGGAAGTTAGGCAACCCACCATACATTTCAGAAAATGTCCTATCCCTTCAGCATGAATTGGCTCATTGAAAATACTAATCAAATCGGTCCTAAAGAAGAAATTAACTATCCAGTGAAGAAAGTATATGGAATTTCCCAAATATATTGTACAATATCAAATTTGGTGACTCCCAAATGTATTCACTTTAATGGTACATTTACTTTAATTTGGAAGATGAATATACTGATAGACTACTGATAGACAATTGCCAATAACAATGTTTATGACAATGTTTAACACGTCATGTGTGTATTACAAATGAAAGAGTGAATAAATGATGTGAAATATATCAATGAGTATATTTGCATATGTCTAGTAAATGAACGAGAAAGAAATATATATAACTAATTTTAGAATCTTAAAATTAATACAATTAACGCTCATTGATCAACATTTGTTCCATAAGAGACTGTTTTGTGCGAATTGCAGTTGATTTATCTAAAAGAGTCGACGTTTAGTCGTCTATTCCAAGTAAGCGTAAGAGTGTAAGGTTGTAGTTAGAGAAACGAAGATAGCGAGCATTTTAAGTTGAAATATTGAGTGTTTTTAGTGAAATGATTAGTGAGTGTAAGTAAATGTAATAACCAGCCATCGCCTGAAACGGTATCCCTTTACAAAAACATTTCAGTACTTTGCATTTATGCGTAATGACGAATTACATTTTTAATTGAAAGTGAATGGCAGTATCTCCTGCTATACTCTACTATAATATAAATGAACTAATCTTAGTCAGTTTCTACGACATTTTCATTTAATTCTGATTTCACAGTAAAGAGTAAATCTAATTTTCTAGAATTTGTAAACTTCCCTTATTGTCTGGGAGAACAAGCAATGAAGGGCACGAAACAATATTTTTGAGATTTTTGATGGACTTGGGTAGTGTTTTTTAAATGCAACTTTTCTATGCTTCTTCCTTTTGTGCAGTTCATTCACATGAATTAAGTTAGTATACATAGTAATTATGTGAAAGCTTACTATACGTGAACTGTTAAACTAACCTGTGTAAAGAAGGTCATAATTAACGCAAAACGAAAACAACAGAAGTCCATACGAAATTCAATGGTAAAATAAAGGACCACTAGCGGTGCTACAGAATAGCATAGACGTTGCCATATAATTCTATTTCCTTCTCGGTTAGCTATTCGAACTTGCCACGTATCCGTGCCTACTGCCAAATATCGCCGCCCCAAGTACATTTTCTTCATTTTTTGTTTTCCTATTTATAGACCGGAAATATTATGTTAAGATTATTAAAGAACAACGAAACCTCGTCCTAAATGGCAATTTTCTTTGGAAAATTTGGAGTCGTTTTTAAGAAAATAGTTAATTCAAAATTTGAACCTATTTTCACAGATAATTATCGCGTTTTCGAAAAGCTTCATATGTCGTCATTTAAAGCACATCCAGTCACAAAGGCACAACTCGGTGGAAATATGCAAATTAAAGACATGAGATATCTTTCAAAAAAATTTACATTTGCGTAATTTTTGAAAAACAAATAATACATCAAATTTATTTTTTTCTCATCTTAAAAATACAATTAGCACTATATTTTCGATAAGTCAGAGAAATTGAAGCATTTTTAAAGAAAATGGCGTTTGAGCTTTTCTGAAACTGCGAAATTTTGAGCTAGTTTTTACAGAAAATTGTTGAGTTATCGAGAATGTATATAACGTTATTTAAAGCAAAAAAATATGATAATGTAAACAAATTGCCGATAGTTTTGTGTAAAGTACCCCCCAAAATTAAAATATCTGTGTGAAAGGTCCAAAGATTTAAGTTGACTCAATTCGGTCGAGAAATATTAATTTTGAAGAAAATCGGCTCAACGATTCAGGTGCCTGCTTTGACCAGGGACAGACAGAGTTGTCGTCAATCGGTTTTTCGGTACCAAGGACTATCAAAACATGGATGCTGGCAACACCACGTATTAGAAGAGTTTGGTTTCTATATTTATCAAATGGATTTATCCATTTTTTTGTACTAGGATGCAGCAATAAGTTTTTCTGCAGAATTTTTGCAATTTTTCTGTCGCGCGATTTTTAGTGACAACTTTGTCTTCATAAAAAGTATCTTCAAATATTTTTCGCACTTCATTTGATTAGGATTTTAGTATATTATATTTTTCAAGTAAGTAGCTTAAGAGTCGGTAACAAAGACGTTGAAACTTTATATTATTGCGTATACTTTGCTAATAATACTAGATAGTATTTGCTGTTGCTTCACCTCTAGTTTATCACTAATACCGAAAATAATTTTCCAGGGTGACTATTTCGTATAATATAAAATATACAATATTAGCTCTACGCCTACGAGCCATGAAAAACAATTTCACCGAAGTCATTCATTCTTTCTCTTTAAATATCTTAACATGATTTCCTTCGCGATGCCAGCATACTTGTATTTTATCCCCGATGAATTCAGAAAATTTCTAAGGGTGTAAGTTATGACCTGTTCTGTGAGGAAAGAAATCTGTGGAAATTATTATTAGATTCTCTCAATGAAATGTGAGAATATGGAAAAATGTCGTTAAAACACCTTTCAGATCATATTTGACTGTATTTTTGTTTTACCGTGCTCAAATTACAATGCCTCACTTTAGCTAAGTTTAGTAATAATAATAATAATAATAATAATAATAATAATAATAATAAATCTCAAAATATAATAATACATTCTTAAACATCACAAATAAACACTAAACACAGATAATAATCACAATATTACTCCCAACATTTACAACTTCGTAATTTCAAATATAATGGTATATTACGCAACTTGTTTATAATGTTATACTTTATTTCACAAGTACATGTTTTGAAAACGAGCGATGTTGGAAGCGAGTTTGTACGAATGCAATGAAGCAACATTATAATCTAGTTGCATACGCTTTTTTTATAACAGCGTTTTAAATTTTTATAAGAATCAAAATTAATTTTGGAAACAAATTTTCAAAGCAGTTTTACAGATGGTAGCATATTAGAGTGTTTGTGCTACCTTGAACGTTAAGGCAATCGAAAGCACTATCGTTATCAATGCGAATTCGAGAAAGAGCTTTTGCACGGCTAGGTCGAAATGTATAAGTCGCAATGGCAGGAGTTCCGAATTGAGGCAATAATGTATGCTGCTGGAGTGAAATTGTTATCAGCTGTTCTGTGCTGTTCTGTACTGTTCTTGATACATTTGAGACTTTTGAAAATCGTCCTTTCTTGTATATATAACATTTGATAATAAATTAAATTAGTATTAAAAATTGTATCCATATCTCACATATTTACATATTAATACCACAATAATTATTGTGAAAAAACAAATATTTTTCTTCCCTAATTCATTTTGTTTTGTTTATGTTGTTTATAAACTATTTCGGTAATTTTGTGGAATCATATAATATTTTCTTCACACAAATAATGTATCAACTTGATTGACATAACCTACACCTTGACAAAATGATTCACTGACAAACTATATATGTTAATATCCACACAATTTTGAATGACAAGACCCACTTTCATTGAAGGCAGGATTCAAAATCCCATTGCACTCATGGTGCTGAGAAAATGCGAAATATTGCTAGAGATGAATTGAGAAAACATTAGCAGAAACTGCAAAGAACATCGCCTTCTATGTTTTCAGCAGAAGAGACTGTTCTGTAAAAGAAACAACAAATAATTGACATAGATTATTGCTTTGACGAAAGAATCAATGAGTATCGAAGAGATTGTCATGGTCACCTCCGCCCGGACGAAAATAAACGTTTTCTTTTACAAATTTTTACGCTTGGTGCTTACAAACGCTGGCGGCGTCTAGTGTTTGCAGTCGTAGACTGCAGAAAGGCGCTGGGAATTGCCTAGCAGC